ATAGACAAAAATAACTATCACTTAAAGAGTATGAAAAGCGTTTTAACTTGATATTTTTGGATTACTAAAGACTAGCTCAATCACTAGACCACTTCTAAGATTTTCTTGGCCTTTAGTTGAATGTGTTAGCAACTAATTGTCTTCTCCAGATGAATTATTATCTGTCTCACCCAATATTATTAAATTTAATTGTGTAATGTTTTGACTATTTCCACTTGTGTGTTCAATTCTTGTATTCTTTAAATAGCAAATGCTCATCACTCGAATTGGTGATTTAGTGGTAAGTCGTACCTGTTTAAAATTATCACCGACTCCCATGTAATTATCAAGTATGGTTCTATTCACGAAAATAACATAGTTTGCTACTTGATTTTAGTAATGTTGTGATGACAAACTACTCTTCCGGGATAGTAGATATAACTTAAATAAAAAATTTCACAATTAGGAACCCTTATGATCACGCTTAAGAGAGGTTACTACCTACTGGTCGCTCCTCCCCTTTTGCTAATCAAAATTAAAAAAAAAAAAAAAAAAAAAAAAAGCAAGATTCCAATCCTTCAAGTAAAATCAATACCCCAATTGTCTCTAGTTTGAAATCGCACCTTGTAACATATATACCATTTCTCTACTTACAGAAAGTAAGTACAGGTTCTGATGATATATTAAAATAAAAATGTTAGTAAGTCAATAAATCAAATGAAAATGCATTTTCATTACTCTCAACTAGATATTGTTGAAGATAACATTGCAATCGAGTTACCTAATATTTTCTTTTTATTTAGAGAAAACAAGTGGAGTTGAGCCTTGTGTTGTGGTGAGAGTATTCATGATTTTGATTTTACTATTCAAATTATCCAAGTATTATGGAATTAATCAACCACATCATTGTCAAATGTTATTGAAAATTTTTTTTCAACACCACGCGAATGTAAAGTTCATCTCCAATTAAATTTTGTACAATGTACCCCGTATGTGATGTTTTCTGAAAAAATGAATGATATTATTTTGTCATATAATTAAATTCCCAACATTCTCTATAGTGTGGGTAGGTAATGACGAGGCTTAATTAATTTCTTCATATCTAATGTTATAAATTAAACAAAATTTTCCTTCATTTTTATTTTCCAAATAGTTCATATTATTTCTTTTATTAGTATTTCTAAAGCAAATTCAAAAAAGTAAAAAAAAAAAAAAAATTACTTGCAAAAGAAACATTGCTTATAAATGTTGTTCACAAAAAGTAAAAATACGAAAACAAATGTTATATATAAAAACTACTTAAAAAATGTAAGTATGTAAAGAAACTTTATCAAACTACGAGAAGTTTGTGAAACGAAAATACCCATTAAATTATTTGTTATTTTTCATTCATCCTCCTTTGTTTATTGCTGTCTCATTGGTCCTTTCCAAAATGACCAAAATTGATACCTACATCTTTGCATCACCTTTGTCATTCCAAGAAAAGACACTTCTCTCTTTGTTCAGTTCCCACGTGGGTAATTTTTCAATTTATTTGTCAAATAATACTAGTCTTTTTGAATACTCTATATTCTATAATATAAAATAGGGCAGACTTCAATAAGTCCATCCGATGATCTCAAATAAGCTCATTCAACGGTCATCAACATCCCTCTCAAAATCATTCACATTGAATTTCTTCCTCTCTCCCCCACAAATTTATCACTTCTTACTTACGTTATACCATACCTTCAAGCACGGGTTACCAAGTAGACTTCCTAAAGTAAGAAATTGTGTCTTTGATGTTGAATTTATGAATTTTATGATATTTTACATTTTCTATTTTGATAGATTTGTAATCAAACTTTTCCATTTATAACTCACCATCCGATAATTAATGATAATACCAAGAATTGAAGTCACTAAAGCGCAATACCTATCAATAGTGGTCAAGTAGTTGTAGATATGACCCAAAAAAAATACTGCCAAAAGTCAAATGTAACATTTATTGCATTTTGTAAAACATTTTTATTAGTCTATATAAAAATTTCATGGTCAGAGCTACCTTGTAAGAGTTGACAAATGTGATTAGTTTTTTTAGAGCTGAGTTGATTTTTTTTTCGAATTAAGATTAGTTATGTTAGCAAAATAGAGTGCATGAGGGGTAAGATAAGTTACGACTTGCCAATGCAAGGATGAGGTCAGGTTGAGATGAACTTGATTCAAAGAGTGATAAATTGGGGGGAGGAGACTCATTAGGAGAAGAATGATCTATCTTATTTGTGAAGCCATGTGTACTTATAGTTATAGAAGGATGGTGTACATGCTTAGCACGAGAGAGAGAGAGAAAACAATTTTGTAGGCCTTACCTCTATCGAACTTGTTAGCTACATATATTTGAGGTGGATGTAAACGTAAGTTACACTTATTAGGAAAATTGACCTAAAACAATACATACTAACAAAAAGAGAACACTCAAGGATGTGTAAATCCTTTGTTTGAATTTTTTTGAAAGTTTTCAAAATGATGTTTGGGATTCGTAAGTGCAGAATGCTTGAGAGTCTCATGTAAACTCTAAGTTGACTTTTTGAAAGTTAGATAAGCCTCATTAAAGACTCACAAAAACAAAATAAGTAAGTGAAAAATAAATTTGTACGTCCACCCTTTCTAAATTTGTGAGATAACGTGCATACTTCTACATGTGTGTGTGTGAGAGAGAGAGAGAGAGCAAATACAATTTATGGACCTTACCTCTATCAAATGTTTCAACTATTTAATACATTTGAGACAGATGTAAACTTAAGTTACATTGAAGAGAACTTGACTAAACTCAATATGATACTAACAAAAGGAGAACACTCAAGACGTGTGTGAATCCTATGATGGATTTTTTGGAAGTGTTCAAAATGTTATTCGGATTCACAAGGGTGGAATGTTTGAGACAGATGTAATCCCTAGGTTGGACTTTCTTAAAATTGTTAGATTATTGCCATTGAGGACTCAAAAAAAGAAAAATGAGAAAGTGAAAAATAAATTTCTACTCCAAATTTTTCTAAATTTGTAAGCCATCCTCAGATATGGTAGAACGGAACACATGTTTTGGCAGATAGATCAAACTCCTTTCAACTCCTCATACTTTCGAAATGAATGTAAACTTAAGTTACATTTAGGAAAACTTGACCAAACACAATACATTTATAGCAAAAGGAAAACACTCAAGATAAGTGTAAATCCTACCTTTGAATTTTCTGAAAGCTTTCAAATGGGGTAGGGGATTCGCAAGGACAGAATGCTTCAGACAGACGTAGTCCACAGTTTGGAACTTTCTGAAAGTTTTATTACCAACATTGAAGAGTCACAAGAGAGAGAGAGAGAGAGAGAATTTTATATGTCCAACCTTTTGATATTGCACTAACATCCCAATATACATGGAGGGACAGGCATAAACTTTGATTAAAATTTTGCAAAAGGTTGATGAAACTCCATAGGAGGCTAACACTTTTGATCTACACACACACACACAAACACAAAGGATTTCACCTACCTTTTGTCCCTCATTGACCTCTAATGCATCTTATTTTTGTTGAGTAAATAACATGTGCAATTTCTACTTTTCGTGCTTAAGATAACATAAAAGAATGAAGATCGCATGAGTGGTGAATAGATTAGCTCTATAACATAATAAATAGGCTCAAAATGATTGAACAACTGTGAAAGAGGAAAAACGAACAAAAGAAAATTTGAAAGCGAAATAGTACTCTTTAAATTCTGTGTTCAATTAAAGAATTCCATTGAACTTCCCAATATATGTCTTTGATTGATTTTGCAATCAAAATTTTCAACTTATAACCCACTACTCATGGGATATTTTTTGAGTCTCATAACTTAGATTCGTTATTATGGTTTTATAGTGGCAAAAAAAAAAACCCCTCTATTTGTCACATGTTTGAATTAACATTTTTGGCATAAATTAAGGTTGCTTGTTTGACAAAGTAGAGCAAAGTAGGGTGAGGCAACTTATGTAGGGTTTAGGTTAGGTTCGGATGAGCTTGATCCAAAGTATGGTAACATTGGAGGAGGAGGCCCCATTGGAGAAAGGGGCCCATCTTATTCACATAGTTGTTAGACTCCTAATTAGTGGTGGATAGATGATGTGTAGACTTCACAATGGACCTCCTTATCTCTTTTGGACTGTGTTAACTTCCCAATACATTTGAGACAAATGTAAACTTAAGTTGCGTTTGGTGGAAAACTTGACAAAATGCCATAAAACACACTAGCAAAGGGATAACACTCGAGATCAATGTAAATCTTATGTTGGATGTTCTTGGAAGTTGCCAAATTGTCATGAAGATTTAGAGGGGTTGAATGGTGAAGACATGTAAACTTTAGGTTGGTTTTTTGAAAAAGTTGATTAAAAGACATTAAAGACGTACAAAAGAAAAACAAGGAAGTAGAAAATAAAATTGTCGGTCAAACCAGTTGAACAGTATGTTAACGTTCCAACATACTTAAGACAAACGTAAACTCTTATTAGAATTTTTTGAAAAATCGATAGAACGTCATTGGAGACTCTCGCTACCACTACATATTAGTCTTTACCTACCCTTTGTCCCTCATTTGCCTCCTTAAGTATTTATCTTTTTTTAGCGTAAATAAGATATTTAATATTCATGTTTCCATATTTTTAAGGAAAAATAAAAGGAAGAAGATTGTTCGAGGAGAATGATATGAAGAATATTCATGTGAAGATAAAAACTTTAATAAATGAACTCAAAATGATTGTACAACAACGAATGAGGAAAAAAGAAAAAAAAAAAAAAAGATATAAGTATGCAAGTGCAACCCCAAACCCCCTCCTCCTTCTCTCTCTCTCTCTCTCCAAAAACCAACCTTTTGTGTCTATCTGTCTCTCTCTAAATAGAGTGTAGGCCTGATGGCATGACCATGGGTCCACCGTGTGGCTGTGGCTGCATGAAAGTTCCGTCTACGAGTTATATATAGGAATACATCTCCACCAGCTCTGTAAGCTCTTGAATCTGGTACTCTCTCCTCCTCTCTCTCTCCTCTTTTGACGCTTCTCTCGCCATCTCATCTCTCTCTCTCTCTCTCTCCCCGACGCGTCCTTAGGGTTTCTCTCCAATCCTTCATTTTTGATTTCTAGCGCTCTGGTTTCCGCGTTCCAAGTCTCATTCTTTGTTCATTCTTTTGGGGCCCCAATTTGTGAGTTTACTCTCTCTCTCTCGCTCTGAATCAAATTTTGTCGAATTTCTCATTCATTTGCCCTGATTAGGGTGTGGAATCATTCCAATTCAGGAGAATACCAGCTAAAATTTGTGGTTTTTTTTTTTTTGGAATTTTGTTTTTCAGGTGTAACATAGTTTTTTGTTCGCTTCTGGGTTTGTAATCAAAGTTCCACATTCCTGATTTCCATTTCGGGATTCTGTAAGGGTCACTTTTCTGCGATTCGGTGTATGGTTTTTTTGGATTTTGCATCTATACCCATCTTCGTTTAATTCAGGTAATTAGCCATTTTCCTGGAGGGGGGGAAAAAAAAAAAGATAAACTTTCCTTCTTCTATTTTTGTGCGGAATTAGATCTGCGTAAATTCTGCTAGATCAAGCCTCAAATTTCAGTTCTTAGAGCTGTTAGATAGATTTGGCGATCATTTATATTCACCAATGATTGTGTTTATGTCAGTATTGAAATGAATACCTTAAGTTACAGTTGGTGATTTACATGGTAAAAAACTACATATTCTAAGTTCAAACTTTATTAAATATTCCTCCATCAATACAATACAATCATGTGAAACGGACCACGCAAGTAGTGATATCCATAAGATAAATACCTATGTTACACCCCTACTACTGCCAAATCTTTCATATAATGACTCAAGTCACTAGCTTTTAATTCCTTCAGCACCTGGTGCTTTTGCTGATATTATAAGCATATGTATATGTATGTGTATATGATTGTGATTCATTTTGGTTTCTGGTTTAATTTTGGAATATTGTCTTATGTGGAAAAATGAGTTGTAAGGGTTATTGTGCTCTAGTACTCGTGTAATAATGAATCAAGTATGTTTTTTCAGCTTTAGTTTCCACTTTTAGGTATCTTTTTCTTGGTTTATACTCTTCTGAACAGACTGAAGGAAAAATAAATGTGTAGTGCCCAAGCTGATTTAATAATATTAGGGCCAAGTCATCATTAAAATATTATCTTTCCCTTTGGAGCTTTATTTAATGAACTACTGTAGCTGATTTGGGATCTTTGAAATTTAATATCTGAGGATAATATTCTTTTGTTATTTTATGTTTCCCTTTATGGCATGCATTAATAACCCTATTCATGGAAACTTGAGCAGGTTCAAATCTCATGATTTATCCAGAAAAAAATATTTTCCATTAATAACTAAAAAAATTAATTCAAGTAGTTAATTAAAGTGGTCAGAGCCTTGTTAATTGACTATTTTAGTGCTATCATTGTTATGGTCTTTGTTTATTGCTTTGCCTTATCTATCTGCAGTTATTTATAGCTTTGCTGGCCCTTGGATTACCTCCAACCCAAACCCCCCACCATACACGCCCAAAAAAACACGCCCTATCAAAACAGGAAAGAAAACGCCGCGCAGTTGATAGTTTAGAGGCCTCTAAGAAAATCTCTTTATGTTTCCCACCCAAACCAAAACAAAAAAGCTAAGCTTTATATGGGTTTGCAGTGTTTGATATTTCTGCATGTTGGCTTTTATTTTCTTCAGGAGATCACCCTTCACTTTCAATTTTACAGAAACTGTGTTGCCTCAAATTTGGGAGCTCAGTGATAGAGATGAGCCGCACAACCAGCGAGGGTGATGATGGATTACTCTCCAGAGATCAGATTGATTCACCTCTGACTGATGATGGCAATGGCAGAGGAAGTGCAGATGGAGAAGTTGTTATGAAGAAAGGGCCATGGACATCTGCAGAAGATGCAATCTTGGTAGAGTATGTCAAGAAGCATGGAGAAGGTAACTGGAATGCAGTTCAGAAACACTCTGGGCTGTCTCGGTGTGGTAAAAGCTGTCGCCTGCGATGGGCAAATCATCTGAGACCAAACCTGAAGAAAGGGGCATTCACTCCAGAAGAGGAAAGGCTGATCGTTGAACTCCATGCCAAGATGGGAAACAAATGGGCCAGGATGGCTGCACATGTAAGTGTTTCTATTACTTCTTTTACTATGGTCTGTATCATGCTCCTTATTGATTAAATATTGTTCTTGTTTATTAAAAAAATATTTTTTTAGTGAAATTTCTCTATGAATTTCAGATGTTGGGGTTAGTTCATCATTACTGTGAAAGAATAACATACTGCTTAACAGAAAATTTAAAATGGTTGACTTATTGTATTGTTTGGAAACTCAAGCTGTTCTTTTGCAATTGTGTTCATAGTTCTTCTAGAACTGATGTTTGTTGTATAATTGCAATTATTTCGATGAGTAATAGATGTATGAAGTCTGATCTTAATAGATGAATGTGATGATGATCTCAATGATGCTTGCAAAAAAAGTTTGATAGAGATCATAAAAATTATAAATAATGTATATGACTACATGAGAGACCTGAATGTTTAAGTCTTAGACATGATCTTGCAGAAAGCAGAACACACAAAAAATGACATCGAGAAACCAATGGTAAGCCTGATAACTTGAGTAATTCCCAAATGGACCCAAAAACCAAAAACTATACAAAAGGCATTAAGTACCATTCCAATTCTTTTTCAAGTTTAGGCATTTATGGGAGCAAGACTAGAATATACAACCAGATTATTTTAAAATTTCAATGTGGGACAACTCAAGCTGGAGTGCATTACTCACATGTTCCTTCATCTCTATGGCATATGGGAGCTAAGTTTTCTCTCCATCATGAACATGAACACTCCTTCCCTCACATCAAGGTAAAGTACTAGACCAGCACAATACTGAGCTGGGCTTGGCTGGCCTAGTCAATCAAGTCTTACAGTGAAACAAAAATATCTTTGTGTATTGAAAATCTAAATTGTGATGGTTAAAGCATTTACTACCTTTGCTTCATTTTTCCAGTAGCCAAAACTGAAATCAGTCTCAATTGATCCAATTTTTTATGACCTGGCTGGTGGTTTGATTTTTAGGACATGTTCTGGTCCTGGGTCACAAAATTGAGAACTATTTCAGTTGGTCGAATACCTAACTTGAATTATGTTCAGCTTTCATCTTCGCTAGTAATGAATGCTGTTGATATGTAAAAATTGTATAGTAAAACAGCATTGTTATTTGACAGTTGCGCGATATGTAAAACTTGAATTATGTTCAGCTGTCATCTTCGCTAGTAATGAATGCTGTCGATTTGTTGCCGTCACTTATTTTGAAAGTTGAGCCATTGCACTTATATTGAGTAATTATTTACAGGTGTGATCTTGGTGCTTTCAGAAACTATTTTGACCTTTGTGTTTGGCTGTTGAAATAATTCTGGTTGGAAGTATGAAAAATTAATTTACTACAAGAGTTCTTTGTTTTATTTCTAGTATATTTTTATAAGGATTTAATGGGTGCTCAAAATTTATAAGACTAATTACCATGTACATTTTGTGACTGATACACTCTTACTACTTTAAAAGATCGAAACTAACATAAATGAGATTACATTTCTGTGGTTATTTGAAATGAGAAGAACCATTTCTTGAGCATACATTGCTGACGATATATGGGGTGCGTTAGAGAACCATGCATCGGGTAGACTTATTAAAGAACAATATATGTTGATTTGTTCTTCTTTGGCAAATGACAAAAGAAAATTACTCTCTGGAAAGAATATGACAACAGAAAATTTCTTGTTTTCATACAAAAACCATTTTTTAGTTGACCTTTGGGGTACATAGTTTGCAGGACCAAAAGTTTTGAATTTTCCAATTAAATCAATACTTTTTCAAAGCTGTCATTTTAAGTTTTCCAAGATTTCATTCCATTGCCTTTCTTGCCCATTTCAGTTGCCTGGACGGACAGATAATGAGATAAAGAATTATTGGAACACCAGAATTAAAAGACGTCAACGTGCAGGCTTACCTCTTTATCCTCCAGAAGTGTGCTTGCACGCGTTGCAAGAGAATCACGAAAACCATTTTGCTGGAATTCATAATGGTGATAACAGACGTGATGATCTTTTGCAAACTGGCGGTTATGACATACCTGATGTCATATTTGACAGTTTAAAGGCCAATCAGGGAATCTTACCTTATATCCCAGAACTTCCTGATTTTTCTACGAGCAGCTTGCTGATTAAAGGCCTTGGTTCTTCTCAGTTTCATAGTTTTGTGCCCCCAACCGTCCAGCGTCAGAAGCGTCTTCGGGAAGCAGTGACCCCATTATCCGGGTACATCAGGGGCTTTGGAAATGTGGCCCCATCATTTGACCCTACTCAGGGTGATGGTCATGAGAACAAAATTTCCCGAACATTTGATTTGCCTTCTTCATATGATGCTGACCCTAATACCAAGAACATGATGCCATTTGGTATAGATCAGGGTAGCCATCCCCTTTTAAATGGCAATTTCTCTGCTTCTACGCCCGCCTCGGGGGCTGTGAAGTTGGAGCTCCCTTCATTCCAACATTCAGAAACTGATATAGTTAGCTGGGGATCACACTTTCCGCCTCCTTTGTTCGACACAGTGGATGCTTTTATTCAGTCTCCCCCACCTTCTGGTTCTCTCCAGTCCGATGCTGTTTCACCACGGAATAGTGGCCTATTGGATGCTTTGCTACATGAGGCAAAGACTCGAAGCAGTGCAAAGAATCAATCACCTGACAAGAGTTCAAATTCTTCTACTGTCACTCCTGGTGATATGGCAGACAGTTCTGACCTGAATATTTGTTCCCCGGAATGGGAAGATTTTAGGGAACCTATATCACCTTTGGGTAATTCGCAAGCTTCAATTTTCAATGAGTGCACTCCTATCAGTACCACTGGAAGTTCGTTGGAGGATAATCCACCTGCAGACACCTTTCCTGGTGGGCATTTTGATTCATGGATACCCTGAATTTTATTCATACCTTCCCTTATTCCTGGAGAAATCTGTATGCTTCCACTATAATTTATATCCTTCTTAGCGTGTATTGCTTTTCATATATTCGCTCTTCATTATCTCTCAAGTTTCACTCTCCTGGTGCTCTTCTGCCAAATGTCCACATTTTTATGATTTTATGGTCAAGGTAAAGTTTGCACGTAGAATTCGGTTTCTTATTTTGTGCTTTATTTTACTGCAGGATGCAACGTAAAGTCAGAACCAGCAGATCAGATTTGGACTCTGGATGAGGATACAAAACAAAATTCAACTCAGTTAGATTTCTCCAGGCCTGATGCTTTACTTGGTTCATGTTGGCTTGAGCAGGGTGTCGCATGTGCCAAGGACCAAGGTGTCACAACTGATGCTATTACGACCCTTCTTGGTGACGATTTGGGTAGCGATTTTAAGAACATGACTCCTGGAACTTCTTCCTCTAGTCAGGGATGGGGGTTTGGTTCCTGCTCTTGGAATAACATGCCTGCAGTCTGCCAAATGACTGAACTTCCTTAAATTCTGCTGTCATCAGGTTGTCAACTTCCTCGTAGCAGTCTCTGTTTTTCTTGAAGATTTGTTTGATGTTAGACGATCAGAGATCTCCTGGACTTGGGCCATCTATGGAGACTCATCACCATGTGTACAAGTCGGACCTTTTCTTTTAGGACTTGATTTTCTTGCTTCCCAGACCAGTGCCATGCATCTATGCCAAGGTAACTTCATTGGTATACAAGGCGTGCAGGCTTCGACATAATTGTAGAACAACTATATACTTTTGTTTTGGGCATTGTGATTCAATGTTTTTTTGTTCTTGAACGATGTTATTGGATTGCTAGGCTGTCTTGCATTTTGGTACTTCATTTTCTCTTTCATGGACACAGGCTGCTAGGAAGAAAATGTCTGAACTTGGCTTGAGGAAATTTTATTTGATTGTTTTCACCTTGTGTTGAATCTAGTGGTGGTTTGTTGTTTATAGCCGACGGTCTCATTGACTTGGAGGGCATTGAAATGCATCAATTGCGGTGTCTCGAAACAGGATTGGGTGATACGGAACAGTATCAAGTAATACATACACAAGTATTTGCTAGAAGATTAAGTTGACCATGACCAAAAATTCAAGCCAACTCACAGTGCTGTGGGTTGGGAGATAAGTTGCAAGCCGATGATAACGACTTGCGCAACTCAACTAAAATAAACCCAAGTATCTTTGGGCCAATAATAAGTGTAGTGAAACATTATTGTTGTGTTTGGTACATAGTAATGTTTTTATTTAAAAATCAAATAAACATGAAAATGGAATAAAGGTGGGAATATCATAGAATGTATATTTTTATTCCAATGTTTGACAACAATTTAGAATAAATATTGAAATAGAATTGAAAATTCATTCTAATATTTGAATATATCTACCATTTAATAAATTAAATCAAATTTTAATCACAATACTCCTTTTTAAAATTAGTATAACTATGTCTAAGAGCATCCCTAACTTTGACTCAAATGTAGATACAAATTTAAATTTTAGTCAAAATGTCCCAAAAAGATTTTCCGACCGTGGACTCAAAACAAAACTTATTCTAGATTCAAATTCTATATCAAATTTTTAATGGTAACTTTTTAACCTAACCAAAATTAAAAGACTTCTTCGAATACTTACTCTATGTTGTTTGCTTGCCTCTCTCTACTACGTTGCTCTAATCGTCGACCACCACCGAAATTTTTACAAATCATTTGAAGACTTATAGGTAAGTTTTTTTTTTTTTCATCTTTTATCTTATTAATTTCTTATATTTTTCAAGACTCTAATCTCACTCATCTGATACTATATAAACTCTAAACTTACCTATCAAAAAAAATTTTGATTTCTTCGAGTTAAATACTATCGGTAAAATAATTTCAAACTATCGATTCTTCCTGAAATTTTAAGCCTTCGCTACTTACAAATTTTAATAATTTGTCATTTTATTTCTTCAATCTTTTATTTTTGTTAAAAAAAATATTTTTTGTGTTCTTCAGACCAGACTCATGTCAAAATAGTTATATTTTTTTAGGGATTAGAATAATCTTAGAATTCTGTGGTGGTTTCTTTATTCCGATGTAGTTTTATATACGTATTCATTTTTTTTTTTTGAATTATCCAGAGAGATATGAAAGTTTAATTTATTTTATCAAATATCATTATTTGAATGATAAAAAAAAAAAAAGTTTTTGGACAATAAAAGAATTTTTAAAAAAATTTGAGTAGATATTTAACTTTGCTCATTAAAATATTTTATACTAAATCAAATTTTTTACTCAAATTTAAGTGTAAATTTGAGTTATAGTCGGAGATGCTCTAATATTCTCTTCTTCTTTCTTTTATTTCACTCTTCTGGTTTTGATTATGTAATCGTTGTTTACAACTTTCATATCAGTGCCATATTTCTTAATCTTCTACATCAAGCTAAACAGTACATACGTCTTGGTCGAGTAAAGGAGTTATCACAACCTGTTTTACCTACTTCATGTTTTAGCAACTGCAGATATATGAACAGGAAGACCCCCCACCAAAAAAAAAAAACCCACCCCACAACGTAGTTAACCTTCATTAACTCTAAACGAGAGTCCGAGAGATCAAAGTAATATGATCATCTAAACATAGGGTACTTCTCTTCTACTCAGAGTTATTCCTTTCTTGTTGTCATGAGTCTTTCCAGCATCTGCAATTGATCCTCCAGAACTTGTGGATATGTTTGATTGTCTTGCAGATATGTCTGAGGAAGGGGCATGGGATGCATCTAGTTTATTCATGCTACTCACTGTTGATACATCCATTATGAAGGTGTCTTGTTCATTTGTTCGCATCTTACGGTGATCCATTGAAATCTGCCAGACTGTTCACTGAATCTGATAGTGTAGGTGAGAAGTCTCTGATACCGGTTGTGTTGCCATGAATTATGTAGTTTAAAGCATCAACCACCTGCATTGACAACAACAAATGACATATCACTTTGGATGTGGCCAGACTATAAGGTGACAAGTAAACGATAAAGGGATCCATACTTTCCATTATAGTTTAACACAATGATTCAGTTAATTCCTTGGTTCTTTTGATCAGTAATTAAATTCCATGTTGCCACAGCAGAAGTAAAGACAACTGAAAAACTTACAGTGACTTCTTCTGATACCCTTAATCTTTTAGAATATTGCAAATATTCGTTGCGTGTTTACTCGGACTTGTCAACAGTTGATATTAACACTCGATTAGGCTTCTTTAATCCCCTGTTTTTCCTTCAGATCTATTTTGATGAAGAAGCTGAACAAGATGCAAATACATGTCCGACCATTTCCTACCTACCAGTAAATTATTATGCATGCAACATTGTTATTCAACCCTTAGATACTTATCATTTAGGTGGTTGTTGAAAATCCCTTAGTGTCATCGAGAATGTGTATATAACATTTGGAACTTATTTATTGACAGTTAAATAGATTTATTTATTAATTTTGTTGTCTAGGATTTTGATTGCTCAGTGTAATTTGTCACCAAAAAATATTTCCTGTTCTTCTGTTTGTTTGGGGTCTTGGTATTGTGAATTCGAGCTATGGACCTGGTGGAGGAAGTAACAGATTCTTTCGGAATCTCAATTTTGGAAGTGTTAAATTTTCCATTAATTTATCAAATCCAATTTAACTAGAGCTGAGAGATTCCAAAAACGCTGGAGTGACTATATAAATCATGGGGAACTTATATAGAGGAAAACAAAACAAAAAAGAGAAAAAGGAGCAGGGGGCAAAAGAAAAAAAGGCCATCAACCATAGGTCCCAGAAAAGCTTACCTTTGCCATAGTGTATCTCTTATTGGGATCCTTGCTGAGACATTTTTCTGCCACTCGCACCATCCAAAAGAGTTGGTGGACATCATGGGACTCTACGATCCTCTCGTCAATTAGATCTGGGTAGTTCTTTTGTTTCAGAAGTGGTCTTGCCTGTAAGAAAGTAATAAAGCTGCATATAAGTAACCTGTATATAATGAACAAGAAATATGAGGTTGAAAAACTATAAGGGCTTCAAACTACTAGTTAGGAAGTATTTTTCAGAGTGCACTATTGACATGGATATGCTTTCCCTCCATCACACTAGTGTAAACTCAGTCTTAAGCAGAGAGAGAGAGAGGTTTAGTTTGATGAGCCAATTAGAATGCTGTGATTTATTGACTTATCTTTAGGACGAATCTCCCTCTTCTCACCAGATTTTATATCACGCCATAGGCAAATTTTTGTACTCGATAAACCCCAAAATTAACCACTTCAAATTATATGTTTAGTTTGTTGTTCCCAACAATTTTTTCAGACAAGTAGTTTATTGAGGATGTGGTGTGTTATGATTGTTACCCATCCCATTAGACTTATCCCTTCAAGTTTCTTGTCTGTTGTCCTCTTTCCGGTGATCAGCTCTAATAGAACCACCCCAAAAGAATAAACATCTGTCTTGGTTGACACTTTCCCACATTCTGCATATTCTGGTGCCACATATCCAAGGGCCCCAACCAGGCTGGTCTCTGAGGAGTGATCTGAACCATCACGTTGAGTTCTTGCAAGGCCAAAATCACCTAGCTGACACATAAAACATTAAGGTTAATAATGCTTCGAGAATTATTTTGTTGCATATAAAGAGTGAAATGTTGTCCTGTAGAACTCAAGGAGCCCATTTAACTACCATGATCACCCTGCGATAGGTTGGATACCTACCTGAAAAATTCTAAAAGATTAATCTTCAGTCAGGTATACAGACAATCTAATTGACCTAGTTGGGTAAGCTGAGAAAAGGATAGACTAATGACCTTGTATTGCTATTATCTGAGTTGATTTTTCACCAGGTTTCCACTACTACCTAAGTAAAAAAACACCTAGACATCATGAATTGAAATCGGCAACTATATGCTGTGTACTTCATATCTTTCTAATATGAATCTTATAGTAGCACCAAAAAGAGGCAGAATGACTGGTTGGTTTGACCTAATCTGGTGACTTCACCTGATAAATAGGCAGATTAAGCTGAAATCTTATGCCATCCAAGTTGGAATATTACCAGTGATTCATGATCATGGGTTACAAGAATGTTATTCGGCCTCATGTCTCTGTGGATGATGTTGTTTTGGTGCAGATATTCTAAACCTTGGGCAGCTCCTAGTGCTATTTTTATCCTCTTGTCCCACTTGAGAGGTCTTTGGTTGTGTTCTGCAAATGGTTTAAATTCCTCAAGTTAGTTTCCAGCTTCTGTTGCGAATGGGACCTCCTACATTTTTAGTTTACAATTCTATAGGTTCTTACCTGATAAATGTTTTTCCAGTGAACCATTGCACACATACTCATAGACAAGCAGCCTGTGGGTTCCTTCTGAACACGAGCCCAACAGCATGACCAAATTCTGATGTCTGGCCTTGCTGAGTATATGAACTTCAGACTCAAATTCTTTGTCCCCCTGGAAGCTCGCATCTTTGTGTTGCTTAACGGCAATCTTCAGCCCATTTTTCAGCTCTCCTCTGTAAACAGAACCATATCCACCTTCTGATAGGAAATTGTTTGGAGAAAACCTCCCTGTAGCTTCTTTGAGCTCTGCATAGGTGAAGTCTTTCTTCCATCCAATCTTGGGCCGCCTGTTCTTGCAGACTGAGCAAATAGAATTTTCAAATTCTTCTGGTTGACACCCACCCATTCTATAACTGTTGCTAACATCTTGCTTCTGTTGTTCATTTGGACTACCTCCAAAAGATGCTTCATTTTGGAACCCCTCTAGACTCTCGGGAACATAGAATGGGGAGTCTTCTCCAGCAGTTTCTTGTTCGGTGTTTGTAGTATAATAATATTCATCCTGATAGTACATGGGGAAGTTCTTTGCATCAGTAGCACTGGAACTTGAGACTTCAGTATTCCATAGGGTTGAGCTTGAAAATGTAGAGGATAACATCTGTTCATGAGATGAGGATTTAGATAATGAAAGTGATTTCCAATAACTGTCCCGTGGGGGTCCTCCACGACCATCACCTCCTTGTTCTTTGCCTGAGGTAGTCTTCTGAGTAGCTCGAGATTCTAAAAATTGTGAAATAATATGAATCCAATTGTGAAAAGAAAAATGGGAAGTTCTGCATTAACTTGAAGGTTTGCTTCTCAAAGAACTAGTAGAGAGCTTTTCTAAGTTATAAACACAATAGAGTGGCTGCCTTTGTGTTTTGGTATGTCCTCACATGGAACGTGTATGCATGTGTGTGTGCAGGCTTGCTCATAGGTGACTGGAGCGAAAGCCTGAAGGAGGTCGTGATAATAATGTCAAAAGAAACATATAGTTCTTTTTAAGCACCTAATTAAATGTCACCGTGGGCATTCTTTTTAGCTGAATCTCAAATGCATCCGCGGGGGTTGGAGATGTGTTTGTAACCCCACATTCAATGATTAAGATCACCAAAGGTTACTTTGTATGCTCAAGGATCTCTCTAATCATTACCAAATGATTTTGGGTTGGATACTCTATCATAGAATCAAAATGCAGTTCACGCTGACAAGTTCTTGACGTGCTACTCTGAGTCTCTGACAGGTGAAAGCATCCGATTCCTTTGGTGTCTAGATGATCTGAATTTTATTCAAGTACTACCCAATAATATCACAACAATACAAGTTTAGAAAATTTCGATGTTGAATCTGTAACAGCAAGTTGTAAGGTGCACAAGATTACAGCTATTTTTTGTGTTTAGAAAGCCAGTGAAGTGACCCGAAATTGCGTTTTTTCTTTATATGTTATGATAGAAAGCCTGTATCATGAAGACATATTAGACATAATAAATGCATTTAGTATTTTTACTCATTGGAAAAAGTTCTTCCTCCAGCCTACCTGGTATCATTTCACCATATGATATACACTGGTCAGTACTAGTAGTACTTCTCGCCGGGGATACTTGGGTGTTCTTAATTGTTTTTGGCCCTCTGATCTGTTCAATGTTGTTAGCACGTTTCATCCTTGATATTCCACATGAGAGCTTCTCCAAGAAGAATTTTTTGTCTTTCTTCATCTGCCTGCACCAATGGATTAAAAATAAATCTTTTAATGTCCATCTCTAGCACCATGTATCTTCTCTTTCCTTCATTTTATTAGAGTTATGATTACTTCTGCCTAAAAACTGAAATATTTCAACTACATTGTGGAATCAGGCTAGTATAAATAATGAGGCTTCACTTGTGGAATCATGCTAGTATAAATAATGAGGTTTTGCTTCTAATGTAGAGTTACCAACATCTCTCTTGCCAACTTGGGTGGATGCAGATTAGTCTTTCAATCTTAGACTATATGCATTGAAGCAAATTTGTAGTCCACATGCTTGGGCGAATCCACATGCAACCCATCGAGGGTCAAATGGCTCCACTCTAATTTTTTGAAGAACCAACACTGTGAAGTCTCAATTATATACATATGCAAGTAATTTGTCTGACACTTTATGTCCATGTCAAACCATGTCAGCAAGTGTCTGTTTTAGTCTGACTAGACTTCTATTATTGCTCAGGCTGGTGTGACTTAATCCCTATTATAAAGTACCTGGAAGAATTCCTGAACTCGTTTTATATAGATTTCTTGACTCTTGTCAATATGGTTCATTTTCCTTCTGATTATAAGTCCATCATTATGTAAGCCTACTTCTAACTTCCTACATCATAATTTCACTCAAATTTTCAGAGCAAATTAACTAGGAGTTGTCATATTGGTCACATTATCAGCCAGATCAGGCATGATGTTGGTGGTGCACGTACTGCTGCTACTTTATTATACACACACCTTGCTCCCCCCCCCCCCCCCCCAACACACACACACATATATATATAGAGAGAGAGAGAGGGGGCTCAATTATTATTTGAGGAAAAGGTCTTAGAATATAATTAACGACTTTTGTGAAGTGTGAACACTTCGGAGTTTTGACTTTTAAGTTGGTTGACATGTGTACACACATATTACCATTCAACGGGATTATTCAATGGGTTCAAACATGAGTCTTTAAATTCTAATGGCTTGGATTGTTGGAGCCAAAACTTGTAAGCATTGTCATAGGTATTTGGACACCATTGAAACTGATTTGACTTCAATGTGTAAGACGAAACTTTAATTCATATTTTTTCAAAATTATACCTCTCGAATTAAAAATATTTCAACTTTTGAATGGATAGTGAACTATGGAAACTACTCGATGATGACAAACTCTAACGAAAGATGCTGGTTTTAGACAAAAAGACCAGACATTGCAGTCTTTCACATTAAGGGAAACAGGAGTTCTATCTGGGTGTAGGCATCTTGAATATGAAACCAACACCAACATGGGACAAATTTCTTATTACCAAAGCTAATCACATTAAAGAAACAAGGGCAAACTATGTATTGTTTTTATTATAGTGCATTACCTGTCCCTATAACATTTATACTTGTGTGTCCAAGTGTGCAAATTTTCTGTAGTTTGATTTTATTGGAAATATTTTATTTTTCTACGTACAGTTTGGAGGTTACAATAGTACTGATTAACATGCGCAATAGTTAGCGGTATGCACTTACACAAACTAGCAATATGACAATATGAATTGCAGTTCCCTTTCAGTTCTTTTACTACTTTGAATAAGATCATATCAATGGTGCCAATGGTTTGAAATCTAATTACCTGTCCAGAATCACCCATGTCGCCGGTAAACTTCTAGCAGCTTGTAGACCAACCGCCTTTGCTGGAGATCCGGCATGCACCTCTATGTGGAACTTTATCTGAGTTGTTTTTGTTTACAAACATGATCTTGTTAGTCATTTTATTTACAGAGCTCATTGGTTTCCGTAAAATGTGCTTACTAAAAAACCTGAAATCACAGTATTGAATTCTTATGGTACTAAAGCAAAATCTTGTAATACTGTGAAACATGAACATTCATAGCTAACCTAATACTTAGCTATGAATGTTCAAATATCCTAATACTTATAGCCAATTGGTTTTGAGTTGAATGCTCTAACATGATATCAGAGCTAGGTCTTGGGGGTTAGTAATGGATATTCAAATCTCCTAATACTTGAGGGGAGCCAATTGGTTGAGTTTGATGCGCTAACATTATATCAAAGCTAGGCCTCAGTTGGCTAAGTCTTACCCATTTGAATTTCTTTGTATGTATGTTGTTTGTTAGCCCCATGCGAAAGCCTAGGTCCCACGTGAGGGAGGGTGTAAAGGGAGCTTATATCCCACATCACATAATTGGTACCACCTTTTGAGTTGGATGCTCTAACATAATTAGACAACTAAAATAACTTAAAGATGTGAAAAAGAATTAGGAAGGGACATGCAAATAAAAAATGACAACTTTTGAAAATCTGTTGAAATTTTAGTGCTTATACTATACTGATCAAGGTAAAAAGTGGATACGTTGGAAGTATGAAGTTTTACGAATCTGTTGGTTGGGCATAGTAGCATTGAACTAGTATTATTAAACAAAATTGATTCAAAAGACCTGAAATTGGCGACAAACTGAAGTTATATTGCAGCGTTAGAAGCAGAAATGATGTTTATAATACTAATTTCTGTGGTTGGCTGCATTTCATAAGGTTATTTACTATGTATATCTTTTCTGTGGATTGCATTGCATTGCATTACTAAACAAATCAGTACTGCACCTCCATATGCATCCACCAACTTGTTTCTTAAAGAAAATAAGGTTTGAAATTGAAGAGCTTGGTTGTCACATTGTTCTAGTATACCTTATCCGACTTGCATATAGATAACACCCTTCACATCTGTTTAAGACAAATCAGAAAAGCATGAGATAATTGTGTTAGGTTGCTAGTTTTGAATACCTTTTCCATTTCACACTGCTTTGAAAGTTCCATCAGATCCTCACTCTTCTGGTATTGTTCCATCTTCTTGGCCACTTCTTCCTCAACAATCTTCGGGTTTGATCCAAGTATGGTTCCCGAATCCACTTTGATCTTATATCCCACTGCATATTATTAAAGGCTGTCAGAAAAAAAAGGCGAGGGGGGGGGGAGAGAAGAACCAATAGACAAGGAGAAGGGGGAAATAAAGTGTTAGATAACAGTATCAAATCCGTGTAATATAGTTAGTTTTTGTGTAGCTTGGTTTATTTATTCAAATCTTTCCTCCAATTTTACAGTTACAGAGAGAAAAAATCCAAGAATCCTTACACTTTTTCCCAGCTTCCATGAAAGATAACGTACTAGGGTTATTAACCTGGTGAAGAACTCCGAGAAGAATGAGCTCATCTCCAAGCTTAAGTGAAAATTGTTGCAGGACCCATCTGATTGCACTCAAACAAATATCTTTGGATGCATCTTGGATCACCATCACCTTCTGAGTTCCCACAGACATGATCTATTTCCTCACACAAGTTAAAACTATGACTCTACTATAGGATTGTCCCTGCAATTTAACAATAGAATGCTTATTAGGATATATATGTACTGGGATTCATTAGTAATGTTTGTTGTATCTAACGTGCTCAGATGTCTAGGATCAAATTTCAATGTATGTGAGCTATGTCTATGTCTAACTATGTTGAATTGATAGTATCTAATAGTGATCTTGAAAAGGATCTCCAATTGAAAGAGGAAGAGGAGAAGGATGGATCAAATGAATGGGAAGTGGGGCAATGCAGACAAACAACTCCCAGAAACCAGCAGAACTTTGCTCAATGCAGGTCCACAGATTGTGATGACGAAAACAAAATGTAAGCAAGCATTCAAGGGAAAAGGATGGTGTTGAATCCAAGCAAGCATCTGTAATACTAGTTTGAGAGCATATTCGGATATCCGTGGTGATGAGTCTATAGGGTTTTCTCATTCTTCAGGGGATGATGTGTTTAAGCTGCAAATATCGTCAAAACCTATGCTTAACGTCCAAAATTTATCCTTCTATCTCTTCATTGCTGGATTTTTAAAATCAGGGAAATGGGGAAATTGATGATAACGAAGCTTGGGAAAATTGATGATAACAAAGCTTGGGAAATTGTGTTTTTTTCACAAAACAAATTTGTTAGCTGTTTTGTTGACAATTCTAATAAGATGGCTGATGGGAGCTTGATCACTGGTTGGACATTACAATGGACTTATGAATCCCAGGTTTTGATGTGCTGTCTGTATTTTTGCTTCTTGTCCTGTCCTGTCTGTTGCTTGAGAAAGATGGCCGAAATTGTCGGTGGTCGCCTCATTTTATTATTAATTTTTGATATTGCAATATACTTTGTTGGATCTCTAATGTGTTTTTCATGGCATTAAGATGAGGAAATCTGTTTTGAATCCGTATAAACAATGTACAGCCAGAGAATTTGGTAGCCAACCGCGTAGGTTTGCAGCACCTACTTGTGTATAAAATATTTGATACATCGGTGTCATTAGCTGTGACAATTGTATCGGGTTGGGTCATGTTATTTTAGATTTGTATCGAGCATTAGTCAATTTTAATCTAATCCGTTTAACTAATTGTGTTATGCCGTCTTAATCTATTTATTTTTGTGTTGTGTTCTTGTCGTGTTGCTATATATAATCGTGAATAAAAAATTTTACGCTCAATTTATGTCTAAAATTTTATTCTCACTAAATCAAATTTGTGCTCATATTTTTTCTATAAATTAAAATTTTACTTAATAAATATAATAATAAAAATGAGTAAAAATATTTTTTTGGTACGAGAATTAGGTCACTATTTGATAAAATATAATAAAAAATTAATATTTTATTCTTATAATACTATTTAAATGTGTTAATTTTGTAAATTTCTTATTGTTCGCATTTGACATTAATCTAACCCATTTATTATTCTTGTTAACAAATTGTGTTATATACGGGTTCGTATCAAAAAATGTTCAACTCTAACCCGCTAATTTCATGTTGTGTTAAAAATTATCACCTTAAATGACATTACATCAGTATTGTCACGTGGTGCCTAGTAATAAAACTAATAAGTAGGCAAATGAACTCTATGGAATTTAATAACTACTCATCTATGTGATATAATAACTATACAAGTACAAAAGTGAGGTTCTCTTTATCCAGGTACAAGGTTTTTATAGGACAGTGACATTACATTGCGGCGTTGACATAATATTATCACTACATTGAATATGTACTCTCGAGTTTGCTCTCAAGCTTAATGCCCCGCAAAGATTAAAAACTATTTTGATTCATATCGAAAAGATTGGATTTTGGTTTTGGTGGAATTGAAACGAAATATTTTATTTGTTTCGAAATATTTTGGAATGTTACAGAATTTGAAAATGGTCGGATTCAAAAGCATGTGCCATGTTGCAGATTTTGCATATATGTTGATTTTTATTCAATTATTCCAAAAATCCAAGGAAAATCATCAAAATCAATGAAGGCATAAGGAAGATCATAACAATATATCACCCCCAAGTCTCAATTATACACTCCTTAAATTTATGACTAAAATACAAAATTCGAATAAATGTCATTACCGATACCCACACACATTAGTTAAACTCAAATTTTCCACGGCCAAATCCTTAAACTTAGGAATAAAAAGTAAATTTCGAATATATGTAATCAATGACGGAACCAATATTTAATTGTAAAAGGGGACAAATAAAAACAATAGCACAACAAAAAATTGTAATAAACTAGGTCATTCAACTTATTATCTTGAGTGTCAAAGTTGAAATGGTATAGAATTTATAACAATCAACTTTCATATGATATATTTGATCCAAAAAACTTTCAAATGATATAGTTGTAAAATTTAGTTTAAGTCACAAAATCTACAAGTTCATTTCTATTTATGATTGTAAAAATAATTTGCAAAATGTGTCTACTTGATCTATCATTTGTAATGACTATGAACAAATTATCATAGCAAATATTAGTTTAGCCTGATTCCATTGTAAAAACTATTATCAATCATGCTTATAATCCGATTTCGTAACAAAATTAGATCTTTTTAATTTTATTGTGTCATCGTACTCATCCAAGCAAGTGCATTTGTCTGCAAAAAATGACACTCATCCACTGATTATATTACATATTTAGTTGTTAATTGTCATATAATTGATACTATAAATAAAGTATCTTATGTACTCAAATATTTGAAATCTTAAAAGGTGACATAAGAATTTTGAAAACCTAAAAGGGAATAAAGGATATTTTGCACAATTTGAAGCCCTTCAGGGCCACACTTTAGCTCCGTCTGTGTATGTAATCATTGATAACCACACAACTCAAATTTTCTATGGTCAAGAAAACTTGTGCAGGTTTGCACCTCATCCCTTGTCGACCACTGAAGCAACCCATGCAAGTTTTAAAGACACATGTTTATCGGAATTGGACAGATACTACATCGTAGTTGAGGGTCTCTAGATCTTGTAAATGCAATTCAAACATCTATTAGCTAATTTTGAAACCTAAAAATACTTTCACAACCTACCACATTAAAAGATTATACTAGGAGAATGACTATAGAATCAAAAAACAAAAAAAAAATAAAAATTAAGTACCATACTAGTAAATATTATTGTTGAGCGTCATAAAAAAACAAATTAAAACTATTCATGATCGGTCACAATATTTTTTGATCACCATTGTAATCGATCATGAATACTCTCAATCAGTGGTGGCCAAGGGGCCATGGCTTCTCGTCTCCCTTAGATTTTAAAAAATTATATGCCTCCTTTTAAATTTTGTATATCTTCAAAGGCATTTTATGTAATGTACAAACATCGACTAAGATAAAAAAAAGGTGCTACAATATTGAGTTACAAACATCGACTTAGATAATTAAATAATGTTTTTACATTAGTATTGTGTGATATTTATAATTATGATAGTGTGTATAATTCATAAATAATTACTTTTTGAATTTGATAGGTTCTCCACTAATAAAAATGTGCCATTAATAGTAATAACGAATCACCCATTCAGCAAAAATTTTAATTGTGCTAGTATTTCTATTTGGCCCGCTCTAGACCTGTCCTTACTCCCGATCAAATGTAACTTAACTTTTAAAAAATATATTTTTCATGATCAACCATAAATTCCCTTCTGGGATAAGTTGGTTTGGAAGAGTCTGATACTTCAACTAGAGGAGCGATTGGTTCACCAAACCTCAACCCAGCATCACACATTCTCCACTCCAGATCCGAAGGAATCCGGTGCCCAACTATCGACTCCTAACGGAATTGCACTATCAAAGCTGAGCACGTACACGTATGGATCCCTCCTTCCTAGCTTTCTCTGAAAGCTTTGCATTCTGCCTTTCCATCCATCTTTTATGGTCACGGGATTCAGCTTGCTCCAGATCAAACTCATCAGCATGTGGGAACTCCCTCCAGCTTTTAAAACTGTACCAAAAGTTATAAAAACTGTCCACTTCTTTACGTGGAGTACTCTCATCTCCCAAAGAAGGGACAGTTTGGCTAACTGACCAGCGCCCATTTCTTGTAAAAGCTGGTCCAAATACCTTGAAGAAGTCCTGCGGCGCACAGTCGGTGGGAATTTCATCATCAAACTCATCTGTAGAGTCATAAATTCTTCTCCTCACCGGATCAATCAACACCTCATATGCTTCTTGAATGGCCTTGAAGTGGCTCTCTATTTCATCTTTCTTTGCTTGTTTTGCAGCTTCAGTTTCTTCTGCAAGAAGAAGTGCAGCCTGCTTGTCCCGATGATGCTTTAAAGAAGTCTCACAATAGCTCTTTCTTATCTGTTCCTCAGTGGCAAGATATCTTAAATGGCCCAAACCCAGTAACGCATAATGATCCTGTAGCTTACCTTCAGAACCAGATTTCCTTTTACCTTTAGTGCTGTATGAATCGGATGACTGCACACATGCCTGGCCCATTTCACTGGGCAGATTCTGATCGTCACTATCTGCATGTTCTTCTTCACACCAACCAAGAAGCCTAAGAGCAGCAGAGTGAAAAGCATGGCCAGCAGGTTCGAATTTAAAAGCCTTGATTGGAAGGCAATTTGAGGAGACATATATTGGCTCTCCATCTACAATCTCGTGAGTAAGAAATAAGCATAGTACTTGTCCGGGCAGCCATAAATTTTAAGTAGCGAGTAACCCAAAAAACAGCGGACAGTAAATATGAACACTATGCAGGAATTGATATCCAACTATAGAGCTTCACTTTAGTCCGGCACTCTTCTGGAATCATCAAATATGAACAATACATGCATTAGACCGATACATAAAGATGATAAAACTTACAGGAGTGAAAAGTTAATAGCAAGTGTATAAGTGCACGGCGCACATAGAAAAACAAAACACCATATGCTCATGCATTACACGATATAGCCCAAGCCGGATTAATGATAAGAATACCAAATAGCCTAACGAATGACGCACATACAGAACCAGGAGAGAGAGCATATTACTTATCCTCAACAAAACTTTTCTGGGTTGTAGTAGGTAACAATTCAAGAGCCTCCACTATCATTACAAAAAGACTCAACCCAACTCAACAAAGCTTTTATCCCAACTATTGGGGTTGACTATATACATACTGTTTCTCAACAAGATATGTATGGCATTTTAATCTCACCTTTAACATGCCATAAATATCTTGTTGAGGAACATGATTTGTGTAACCATCCCCTATAACACCATTTGGAACAAGAAGTAACAAGTGCTAACCACAACACATACACTAAGATACTATCCATCACTGACACCGTGAACATACTTTTAGAAAGTAAGCACTTCCTAACTCTTAAGCAGTAAGACGTGATGAAGAACCTGAAGATAGATGTAGAATAATTTCAATTTGCGACCACCACCTTTAAAATATAATAAGCAAAAATGAGCAAGCAGCAACACATGCTTAAAACCAACAACACAGTTGGTGGATGTGCATCATCTCTGGGAGATCAATCCAGTTCCCACAGTTGGATTCTTTGCCTATATAGCTCACACATTAGTTTGTTCAGTACAAGTTCCATAGCCAGTTGTATTCAATACCATGAAACAACTCCATTAAAGAGTAATCACTCTATAATACAACTAATTCCTTAACGATATAAAATGTATGGTAAAAAAAAATGTTGAACAAAACTATGCAAAAGAAGACTATTGACCCGTCATATCATCATCTTAACTAATCTTAGCATAAAGTGTATCATCTCATTTCTGTATCACTTTCAACTTTACTAAACTACCATCAACTTCTGTTTTCCCCCCTTTTTGCTACCAAAGCATCATCAACTTATTGAAGTTGATATCTGCATTTAAAAGTAGAACTACATACGTGATGGGACTCTTCTGAAAAGCCCTGAGATGAAGACACGTGTCCTCGGGTTTTTTGAACAGTGGTGCCCGGATGTAAAGCACCATCGGCGAAGAACGTCCTCTACCCCGAGGTGCCCTCTCATATAGGATCACACATTCGGTGTATTATACAACAAACACGTGTCCTCGGTCACGTGTACCTCGGAAACATACCACCCTCGGTCCCCGAGGTAAGCCTTTTCTCGGTGCCGAGGGTCACTCCATCCTGGACGCTTCCTCTACTCCCGGATAAAGCTACTGACAAACTGGACATCAGCCTATGCCAGTATGGACTATTCATCATGACCTCTTCTTACACAAGTAATGTCAGAACGTGCTGGAATACCGACGTAACAGCCAATAAGGGATGGACGCGTGGCAAATAATGTCACATCCGAAGCAGACAAACCGCATGCCGCTGCTGGCACGCGACTTGGGAAAGCAAACAATTAATTGCACCCTTCTGTTGACGAGACCGCATTTAATGCGGTAAGGTTCGGATATGAAAGGCAATAAATGCTCCTATTACAGAGCATTTATTGCATCCTTCCCGAAAGGAGCATATTGTACCGTCGGCGTCCCGACAACTCACCATTGATTGCTCGGGACCCCGAGCAGTCAATTAGAGAAGACATTCCTCATCAAATGATTACACACGCTACCTGTGCCTGATGATCACCTACTGACCACACTGACAGCAATCATGATCTTCTAAGGTATAAATACCCCTCCCAAAAGACAAAGCGGGTATGCAATCTCAAACTCTCAACTACGAAATATCCTTCTCAGTGTTTTCTCCTTCCTCTCTCTCTCATTCAAAGACTGACTAGACCGTCGGAGGGGATACGCCGGAAAACACTCCGGCGCCCTTCTAACTTGTTCTCCTTTGTTCCAGGAAATACCTTTCACACGTACAGGATCGTTCCTCCTTTCCCAGGATCTCCCTTTGCCGTTTCCGGTTGCCACCGTACCTTGTAGGCTGTTTCAAGCAGCGTGTTTGGCTACTCAACCGGCTCACCCAAAGTTCACCAGGGGAGAGATCTGTTCCCAATATTTTATATATCGTGCAGGATCGAGCCCGCACAATCTGGCGCCGTCTGTGGGAAACGAGTAGTTTTCCTAATCTTTTCTCTATAAAGAACAGTGACCATGGTGAACACCAGACAGAAAGGGAAGAGGACCCTACCAAAGGAGTCATGAGTTGCAAGCTCCCTGCCATCACGGGGGGAGGGATCGGACCAGTACGATTAAAAGTGCCTCTACTCGGTCAAGGGGGGTAACCCCCCAAACCAGTATGGGGATCAGGTCAGGAGGAACAGCCCCCTTGGCCCGTCAGCTGGCAGAGGTGATAGAAGAGAAATTTGGCGATAGATTACGCCAGCTGGAGAAAGACAATGTAAACGTCCTTAGCCGGCTCGACGAGTTTGCTGCCTCAGGCGGAGGGTCGAGGGATTCATTCCTCTCCCGAGGACTCCCCGTCCATGAGGCGGAGACAAAGGATCTAAGGAACCACCTGGATCACAAAGCAGAAAGCTCCAGGGCCCCGAAGCGACCCAAAGCCGGCGAATGCCATCTTGACAACCATTCCAGGAAAGCAAGGCCATTGGCCCTGGACGACCTCCGGCGAGGTTTATCCAGACGGAGGAAGGGAGATGAATCCGAGGAGGACTCAACCCAATCTACACGACGCCCAGGAAACGAGGGGCTTACCGACGAACCCAGAGACTTCAGGAGGCATCCCGTAAGGGAAGAAGTAGATCTCAGAGCCCGATTGGACTCCAGAAGAAAGGGTAAGACGATCCAGGACGAGGCCGAGGACGAAGTCATGCAAACACCCTTCACGAGGGAAATCAGTGAGATGGATGTCTCAAGAAAGTTCGTCGTGCCACGGTTCAAGACCTATGATGGGCGATCTGATCCCGATGCCCATATCAGACAATATAAGCAGATGATGTCCCTCTATCATTCGGACCAACGGTTTCTATGCCGGGTGTTCCCTATGAGCTTGGGGGACTCTGCGATGAGGTGGTTCGAGGCGCTTCCCCCAAACAGTATTGGGTCCTGGAAAGAATTGACAAGGCAGTTCCTAACCCGATTCATCACGGGGAGTAAGCGCCCCAAGGACATTGGATCACTGCTGACCCTCAGGAGGAGGGAATCCGAGACTCTTCGCCAGTACGCCATCCGATACTGGGAAGAAGTCAATGAGGTCGAGGGATGCTCGGAGGTCATGGCAGCAGCATCATTCCGGCTCGGCTTGGCGAGGGACACGGACCTGTACCGATCCCTGACCAAAAAGACTCCCTCGGATATGGGGGAACTGATGGCCCGGATCAACAAGTACTCAAGGGTCGAGGACGAGATGGGGAGCAACAAAGGCCGAGCCCTCCAACCCAAGAGAAAGGAAAAAGAGCACGAAGATATTCCCCGGAAGGGATTGCTACCCCGTCCAGGGGGTTCGTCCAGAGGAGTTCACACCGTCTTCAAGGAACCCATCTTCAGGTTGCTCCATAAAATCAAACGCGAGCCGTTCTTCAAATGGCCGCCCAGGATGCAAAGCGACCCCTCCACCCGTGATCAAACAGTAAGGTGTTCATATCACCGGGATGTCGGGCATCGCACCGAGAGCTGCAGGGTGTTCAAGTCATTCTTGGAGAGCTTAGTCCGAGATGGATACCTGAAAGAATACATAGAGCCTAGGCCAGAAGAAAAACGAGCCCCTGCCCCGACCGAGGAACCCAACAACGTCATAGACGTCATCCATGTGTGTCCACTGGAGCGCCCCACGTCCAAAGAGCTCGAATCCGACCTCAAGAGGGTAGCTTTTACCAGAAAGGTAGCCGAAGGAGGTGTGGGGCCATCAAGTAAAAGGGCCAGGATGGGTGAACTTGGCATTACGTTCTCTGACGCGGATTTGACGGGCGTGGTGATTCCTCATAACGACGCCCTTGTCTTAACCCTAAAGATAGGGAAATTCGATGTCAAGAGAATCTTGATAGATTCAGGGAGTTCCTCGGAGGTGATGTACTTCGAGACTTTGAAGCGGATGGGCTTTGGCCCCAAAGACTTAACCAAAATCAGGACACCCCTCATCGGGTTCAACGGCTCTTTCGCCTTGCCCGTGGGGAAAATTACATTACCGGTCGCCACTGGTCCCTTCGTCATCGACACAGAGTTTGTGGTGATCGACACGGACTCCCCTTACAACGTGATTATGGGGCGAACATGGCTACACGCGTTGGGAGCGGTACACTCCACTCTCCACCAGAAGTTGAAGTTCGCCACGCCAGAGGGCGTCATGGAGATTCGGGGGGATCAAGCGTCTGCGAAAAACTGTTTTTATTCGGCCGTCCGAGCCGGGGCGTCCAGCCAGGAGAAGGGGCGAGCACCGGAAGAGATCATAGAAAAATAGCAATTACAGTCCGGGCGTCCGGGGATGGATGACCCCCGGGTGGACCCAGCTGAACGATCGGTTGAAGACCTCCGGAAGGTGCCCTTGGTTGAAGGAGAAGAAGAGAAGTATTTCCTAGTTGGGACCTCGATGCCCGCAGCCGAACAGGAGGAGATGATCAGGTTCTTAAGAGGGAATACAGACGTGTTCGCCTGGAACGAAATGGAAATGACAGGAGTAGACCCCGAGATAATTACTCACAGGCTGCATGTTGACCCATCTCACAAGCCAGTAAAGCAGAGGCCACGACGTATGGCCCCGCATCACACCAACGCGGTCAATGAGGAAATAGACAAACTCCTAAGAGCCGACGCCATTCGAGAGATACAGTTCCCAGAATGGCTGTCCAATACAGTATGTGCAAAAAAGAAAGGGGGGAAATGGCGTGTCTGCGTGGATTTCACAGATCTAAACAAGGCATGTCCCAAGGACGACTACCCCCTGCCGAAGGTGGACCAGCTGGTAGATGCCACAGCCGGATATGAACGAATGGACTTCCTGGATGCTCGAGCAGGATATCATCAGATCCCTCTTTATGCCCCGGACCAAGAAAAAACGGCGTTTATCACTCCGAAGGGAGTTTATTGTTATAAAGTGATGCCATTTGGATTGAAGAACGCCGGGGCAACATACCAAAGATTGATGAATCGGATGTTCAAGAGGCAGATCGGCAACACCATGGAGGTCTACATAGACGACATGCTGGTAAAAAGCAAACGGAGTGGTGATCATCTTACAGACTTGGCGGATACCTTCTCCACTCTCAGGGAGTATGGGTTGAAGCTGAATGCAGCGAAGTGCGTCTTCGGAGTGGAGTCGGGAAAATTCCTCGGGTATCTGGTTAGTCAGCGGGGAATCGAAGCCAACCCAGATCAGATTAAAGCAATCCTGGATATCCGAAGCCCTCGCACTGT